GGTGGTGGGCCAAAAGGGAAATTGATTTATTTGTGGTTGAAGCATGGGTGAATGTAATGAGCATAAATTACAAATCCATTGAAAAGATGGATTTGTAAAAAATAAAAACCAGACATATTACAATGCCCATAACAGAAAAAGTAATGCTGTTTGCTTAAAAGTGAATTTATTTTCTTTGTAGAGCTCAATTTTTCTTTTTACAAAGAACTAAGGAAGTTGAAAGCAACCTCTTTCTTCCTTCATCATCTCTTCAGATTCAGAAGTCATCTGGCAAATAGATGGATACCTATTATAAACTAAAATGTTAACTCATACCCCCAGTAAGAAGCACTGTGGAAAACTTTATACACATGTATAGCAAACAAAAGGGGACATGGTGGCTCAGTGGCTAAGACGCTGAGCTTGTCGATTGGAAGGTCGGCAGTTCAGCAGTTCAAATCCCTAGTGCCGCGTAACGGGATAAACTCCCGTTACTTGTCCCAGCTTCTGTCAACCTAGCAGTTCGAAAGCACGTAAAAAATGCAAGTAGAAAAATAGGGACCACCTTTGGTAGGAAGGTAACAGCGTTCCGTGCGCCTTTGGCATTTAGTCATGCCGGCCTCATGACCATGGAGACGTCTTCGGACAGCGCTGGCTCTTCGGCTTAGAAACAGAGATCCGCACCACCCACTACAGTCGGGAATGACTAGCACATATGTGCAAGGGGAACATTTACCTTTTTATAGAAAACAAACGAATATAAACCCAAAGCCATGATCAATTTTAATGTTTATTATAAAAGCGTGAAAACATTAATGAAGGAAAAAAAGGGGGTACCATGAGGTTCTGAATGTGAAAGAAGACATTATTTGGTCCAGTTAAAAGTGGGTAGCAATAGCAATAACAGTTAGGCTACTATACCATCCCATAGCACTTTACATCACTCTCTGGGAAGTTTACAATGTCAGCATTATTAGCATATTGCCCCCCAACAATTTGGGTCCTCATTTTACCAACCCTGGAAGAATGGAAGGCTGAGTCAACCTCGAACCTCATTGAACTCTAGGCTGTGGGCAGAGTGTGCCTGAAATAGTGCACTTTAACCACTGTGCCACAGGCAATCATTGAGAAAAAAGTATACAAGAAAGAGAAGAAAGAAGTAAAAGTTATGAGAACCGAAATAAAGGAACTGTAGGAAAAGAAAATACAATCCCATATGAAAAAAAAAATAGATGAATTGATCTCCCAACAAAATGGATGGAAACTGAATGTAAAGAAAGAATGGAAAACTGAACTACATTTGTGAATGCCTCAGAAACATGAGAAGATATACAAATAGGGCATATGAAAAAAAATGATACTAGTTGAAATAATGAAGTTAAAAGGACTAAATATGAAGAATATGCATATGACAGAATGACTGCTGCAAAAACAAGGATGATATAGATATTCTGACAGACATTATAATGTGAGTATAAAGAAAAAGCTACTTGGAAAGAATGTAGTCACAGAGAGAAATGAGCAGTTAAAATTAAAAGTAAGTACAGGTACTGTAATCCTCCACTTACAACCTCAATTGAGCTCCACATTTATGTTGCTAAATGAGAAATTTGTTAAGTGAATTTTGCCCCTTTTTACGACTTCCCATGCCACGTTTGTTAAGTGAATCACCGCAGTTGTTAAATTAGTCACATGGTTGTTAAGTGAATTTGGTTTCCCCATTGACTGTGCTTGTGAGAAGGTTGCAAAAGAGAATCACGTGTCCACAGAACACTGCAACAGTCATATATATGAGTTAATTGTCAAGCATCTGAATGTAAATCATGTGACCGTGGGGATGCTGCAAAGGTCATAAGTGTGAAAAATGGTTCTAAGTCATTAAGCGAACTGTTGTAAAACGAGGACTACCTGTATGCAGAGCAATTCTGATGATAGTAAATACTGTCTTGAATGTGATGCAAAAGGGTCAACGAGGAGCCTTTACTAGAGTGAATGAGACTGAAAATAAAAGTGTTGAAAGTAAAGTGAAGTGAAGCAATTCTGGAAAGAAGTAATTCAATGTTTTATATAGAAATGATGGTGATATGCCAAAGACTGAACTGAAATGATTGCTGCAAATGTTAGTATCTAAGAAACAAAAACGATGAAAAGGAAATTATGAAATATGAAAATGTTGAAAAATGATACAGCTGCATCTGCCAAGAGTATAGCTGGAGAAATGTTGCCACATGCATGGGATTTGTTAAGGAGTAGTTATGCCACATGTATGGGAAGATCACATAGGTGCCTAATTATTGGAAGAATGTTGTTCCCACTAAGCAAAGGGAAAGTTAACAACAAAAAGTACAAAAACTTAGAAAGATTAATTGGTTGAGTTGCCTCTGGAGTTCTTTGTCAGAGTTGTCCAGGTGGTTGCCAGATGTCAACATTGGTTTGAAGGAACAGAGTGGGGGGGAGGGAGAGGGAGAGAGAGAGAAAGAGAAAGGGAGGGAGGGAGAGAGAGAGAGGGGGGAGGGAGAGAGAGAGAGAGAGAGAGAAGTTTTATAGCTTATACCCTTGGGCTAGATGGGAAACTTGGCAGAGTTCCTACCAATTTCACAATTAAAATTTAAGAAAAGAAGAGACTAACATTTTACTCTCCTTTTGACAATTGTGTTAAAAACAATAACAAAGAACTGTCAGCTCCTGAATCTGAAAAGAAAAACAACCCTCCCCACAACTTTCATGGCTAGCCTCCCAAATCAAAATTGCTACTAAAAGAAGAGAGCAAAAACTGAAGCTGTGGGTATGCACACCAGAGCACACATCAGCCAGTTGGCATAGAGTCAACAGAGGAAGCCAGAATGAAGCACAGCAGGTGGACCAGACAGACAGGAGAAAGGGAAAAGGCTACTTTTGATTCAGAGAATGAAAACTCAGCTGGAGGTCACCTTCCCAGCAGCCTAAGGGCAGGGTGAGGACAATGCAATTATCCCTGCCCTCCTAAAATTGTAGGGGCTCTGTCCTGACAAAACAGCAAGGGCAGATCAGTCCATAGAGACCTTGATAGCTTTATAAATCAAGCTGTCTTCCAAGACCTGGTTTAATCTTCGCCTATCTCCCACAACCTTTACAAAACAAAGATAATCACAAAATGAAAGCAAGCGTGCTTTTCCTGTTCATTGAAATGGAAGCACAATTAGTGCTAAAAGGAATAAGCAGGAATTTTTTGAGGTAGGACATCTTGGTGAAAATTAAGACATAGGAGTGCTGCTTCAAGACATTTTCTTCATCAGATTCACAGTGGGTAGACTCATGGCAGATGTAAACTGGGAGAGAGGGAAAGACAGGATAGTTATGCAAAAACAAATTACCTGAGAGACAGATTAACAGTATCTGATCCATTTAACTGTAATGTGTTAATTGCAGTTTCTGAGATTGCCTGAAACTTTTTGATGGATGAGAGTTGAGTCTACATTAGTCTAGCCCAGTGATGGCGAATCTTTTTTTCCTCAGGTGCTGAAAGTGATAGTGCGTGTGTGCCCACACCCATAATTCAATGTCCCCCGTGCCCTGCCCCCTGCGCATGTGTTCGCGCTTCCCCTGTGCCCCGTTTTGGGCCTAGCAGGCTTCCTTGAAGCCTCTGGAGGCCAGAAATGGTCTGTTTCCAGATTTCCAGGTGGCCCGATAGGCCCGTTTTTCACCCTCCCCAGGCTCTAGAGGCTTTTCTGGAGCCTGGGGAGGGCAAAAATGGCCTCTCAGAGCCTCCGTGCGAGCCCTATACTTACCTGGCATCCAAAGTGGGTTGTGTGGAGACTCCTGGGAGGGGAGGGGCGGCGTGGCGGGGCCAGCTGAAAATCAGCTGGCCGGTGCACACATGCGCACTGGAGCTGAGCTAGGGCAATGGCTCACATGCCCACAGATATGGCTCTGCGTGCCACCTAGGTTCGCCATCATGGGTCTAGCCATTCTATATTAAACTGTTAAATTGTTAAAAATGTTAAAAATTGCAAGTTAGAAAAGGAGCTACTAGACGCCATGGCTTTCCTCCTACAAAGACATTTTCTGTATCTGAATCAGAATTCAGACACCTGCTGGCAGTCCCATATTTTTCTAGAATTAGTGATTTAGAGCAAAACTGCTTTCAACGGAAGGATTTCAAACATCACACAGAGAGTGTACTGTATGTTAAGCAAACTGAAAAACAGGAGTTTGGAGAAGTATTTAGCTGAATCGCTATTTTTCCTTTGATATCAAACTCTAATTGTCTAAATCCCTCTAAGGAGAATGCCACAATTTTACTCTTAGTCACTCCTTTTGTTCATTTCTTGGCATGTTTTTCCTAAAGGGCTCAGTAATTGCCCATCCAAATGGTGCTGACAGAATGCTTGTTTTGAGGGCTAATGTTTGTGCAGATTTTTTTAAAAATAACTGCTATGAACTTGCATACATTTCCATCTTAATAGTTCCAATAGAAAAAGCTCGTTAATTATTGCCAAAGCTTCTAAAGGCTTGGAGCTGCTATGTGTGTGAATGCTTATGATCACTTAATGAATTTTCTTTCTGCTCTTTGGCAATCTATGGGCATTTCTATTTTCTTCAGTTTGAATTGACCCAGGGCGTTTTGATCCTTATAATGTATTTCCATGGATGTGCCTTTGTGATAGTCATGCTCATCATTTTCATGAAATGTTTTTTGGCACATGGATGCAATAACACTTATTGTTTTGTTATTTTCATTTTGTTTATTATTTATTCTTTATTTATTTCTCACCTTTATTATTTTTTATTAATAACTCAAGACAGCAAACATGCCTAATACTCCTTCCTCATCTTATTTCCCCACAACAGCAACCCTATGGGAGTAAGCTGCATAGAGACAGAATGACTGGACCAAAGTCACCCAGCCAGGCCTAAGGCAGGACTAGATCTCAGTCATCTGAACTTTTTTTTTCATATGGATTTTATTGACTTCACAGAATTTCCAACAAATAAAGTGAGCTGGAGCCTCGGAAGCGCCTCTGCCCTTGAAAGTCTTCGGATTAGCAACCGAGCCAAGGATCCGGGTGGTTTTTCCTCATCAGGAAGTTGATCTTTCTGCCCATTTCAGAGTTATAGATTCTCTGGCATGCTTCGTAGGCCTCCCGCCGCCTCTTCTGGCACGGCTTCTCATAATACCGCTTGCGCTTAACGTGGTCGATAATTCCATCCACAGTGAGGACTCTGGTGAAGGCCAGCTCCACATCTCCACCTGGGACCATCACGGTCTGGGCGAGGAACTTGGTGTGGTGCACCATCTCCACCCCACGGACATCCGGTGGGGCCGGGAAGCACCTCTCACTGCAGCCTGGGGATTTTCAGTCATCTGAACTTCTATCCTGGTGTCTTAATCATGAGACCACACTGGCATTTTTAAATTTCCTTCAAAAAAAAATGAAGATAATAAAAACTGAACAAAATTATTCATTCTTTCAGTTAGACATCAAATGAGAAATTCATGAAAAATGGAAATGAGGCACTATTTCTTTGAATTTTTTTTTCCTGTAGCTCATCCACTAAAGACACTAAAAATTAGTTTCACTTTTAATTTGATTTGTACAACCACTTTTGAATTTTTTTAGTTTAAATAGATAAAGTATCCCATTTTCTAGGCTAGTTTGCTAGAACTTAGATGAAAGACCACCAAGAACTATAGTGAGAAGTTGAAAAACTATCCAGAAGAAGAGAATGGCAACCATTTCCATAATATTGCCAACAAAGTAGCTTGGTTGTATTAATATAGTAATCTGTATCCAAGCTCAATTTAAGGAAGAATTTACCTCATATTTGAGATCCAGTGTGGCATTGTGATCAACTAGGACTGGAGACACACAAACTCAAATCCAACCTCATCCTTAGAGTCTCAGAAGGTAACTTGGGGCTACTTCCTCCCTGCCAACCGAATATCCTCATTGTTTTTTTGTTTTTTTTTTGTAAATGTATAAAATGAAAAATAAAACACTTGAAAAAAAATAAAGGGAGAATCCTTGTGTAAGCCAGCCTGAGTTCCTGGAGAAAAGGAAATTTGGTGATCAGAGTCAAAAATATTAAAAAATATCCACTTTCAGAAAGGACATCTTCAATAAGGAATATGCTACTTTCTTCAAATCAGAAGCTATTGCTGTATATCTAATTCATCCCTCAAAGAAGAGTTTATTATAACCAGAATCCACTCGCTCACACCCTGTTTATATTTTCCCCAAAAAGTCAAGAGGGAAGTGGCTCAAACTCAAACTACAAAGAACTCTATCCACTTCCTTAGGTTCCAGAAGCTCAAAAAATCCTAGTGGAAAACCCCAAACTGTGTCTCACTCAGCATTGTTAATTGTGCCAAACAGGCATTCAACCCAAAGTATACACAAGTGATTTGAAGCAATAAGCAACCCATAAAATAATCTGGTATTCCTTCACAAATTTCAGTTCATGTTTTCTTAAAAGGATCAGAGATACTTTGGCAATAGCAATAGCACTTAGACTTATATACTGCTTCACAGTGCTTTACAGCCCTCTCTATGCAGTTTACAGAGTCAGCAAATTGCCTCCAACAATCTGGGTCCTCATTTTACTGATCTCAGAAGGATGGAAGGCTGAGCCAACCTTGAGCCTGGTGAGATTCAATCTGCTAAATTGCAGGTAGCTGGCAGTCAGCAGAAATAGCCTGCAGTACTGCACTCTAACCACTGCGCCACTGCAGCAAGATGAATTAACCATGGAGAAGAACTAAAGTTTTATTTCCATGTACTGTCTGTAGCAAAGGATGGATGTTAATATCCTCCTCACTTCAGAGCCTATCTCATCTATTGTGTTCTGAAGTAAAGATCAAATGAAGCATGTGCTCTCTCTTGGATATGTTGAGGCCTTGATTACCTGTGACAAGCCAAAACTAATAGATTATATTAGTTATAATAGATTATAATTATAATCTAATTATAATAGATTATAATTAATAGGAATACTTGCCGTGTGTTTAAGTGTTAAAAATGCCACTTAATCTACAACTTTTGGAGGATTTCAGGTGAGCAAATCCAAGGCTTTGTGAGGAGACACAGAAGACATGCCCTCTGCCCTGGCTGTAAACTGCATTGGGTATTTCTCTGGCGCAGGATGAGAAAGAAAAGCTGCTTTGGCCTTGGGAGGATAGAAAACTCCCTGTGAACTCTGACTTGCGTGACTCTGTTGTTAAGAGCAATGCCTACTGTACAGTCAATGTTATCTCTCAGGAAATAGGTACCAGCATTTGCCATCCCAGTTACCATGGTTTCCAAGCAGACACAGTGCTGCTCAGAAAAGAAATAATTAAGCTTAATTTTATATTCACTCCTTCAAATACTTTAAACTTCACAAGCTCACCATCCCACTCTTCTCCCCTGTCCCTCTATAGAACTGCTATTTCTTATCACATCCTGAAATACTGCCTTTGCTTGATTGAATTTTCTAGAGGTTTTTTTTTTTTAAGAATCTTCTTTTTTCCAGCACCCTTCTGCTCCCTCTTGAAGGATCCATAAAGAATTTAAAAATCAGTGTTGCTACAAATATCCTTTTATTAAGCAGACATAGTAGTAGGGGCCACAGCTTTTGAAAATTATGGTTTTTGACTTGAAAGCTGGCAGAATGCATATTTCATTGTGAGGACTCAACAATATCTCCTAATCAGCTGCAATTTCTCCATGGGCAATTTCAAAATTGCCTGAAACTTCTATTAGTTCAAGGTTAACATTTCTGCAAATTTATTATTCAGAAACCTTTGTCCCACTTCAGCTGATGACATGGCTAACTAGCATTTACCATTGCTGATATATGTCCACAGACTATTATTATTAATGCTGTTATACAATGTAATAGCTGCATTCAACTGTATTCCCTGGAGTTTATTGCAGCTACTTAAAATATTTCTCTAAGAAATCTAATACGTTTTAGGATAAAAGCATTATACTCCCACTCAAAAGGCCTTCATATATCCAGGGCATGCTTTAACCAACAAAAATGATAGCGATTAGAAATGTTCCTCACATATGAGATGACTGACAGCTTTCAGGAAAACATTTCTAAACTGTTTCCTGAACTGCCACATTCAGAAAAGGCTTTTAGAATAGACTTTACAGTAGGTACATCTGCAGTGAAATTGTGAATTGGCAGGTGTAAAGGTAAAGGTAAAGGCTCCCCTCACACATATGTGCTAGTCGTTTCCAACTCTATAGGGTGGTGCTCATCTCCGTTTCAAAGCCAAAGAGCCAGCACTGTCCAAAGATGTCTCCGTGGTCATGTGCCGGCATGACTAAACGCCAAAGGTGCACGGAACACTGCAAGTAGAATGCAAGTAGAAAAATAGGGACCAGCTTTGGTGGGAAGGTCACCCCTTTACGTGGCACTAGGGATTTGAACCATTGAACTGCCCAACTTTTGATCGACAAGCTCAGCGTCTTAGCCATTGAACCACCACACCCCTTTTTGGCAGGTGTACACTAAATGAATTTTATCATCATCTGATTTCATCAGACTTTACTAGATAGCCATGAGAAAGACAACTCTGAAAGACTGAATGGAACTACACTATACCAGTTTGTTTTGGGAAAATAATGGTGAAGCGATGTTGTTCACCATCTCTGCTGCTTCCTGATGGTAAGTCAAAGTCTCCATCTTGTACAGGTAAGAAATTTACCTTTGGATGATTGGGGCTCTTATGCTCTGTCTGGGAGCAGGAATTGGTTGCAGGCTAAGGGAGGAAAAATAAATCCATGAAAGTTTTTAAGTAATACACAGTTAATTTCAAAACTGCAAAATTATTTCCTGGAAAGGACTAGGATTCACGATGAAATCCATAAATGTTGTTATTTCAAATTGTTCCTCAACACTCTCATACAAGTTACATGTGCTGTACACACACTCATAATTCCATGGGTGTTTGTGCATGTTTGCACAAATTACATAAATACCAGCAGCCTGGCACTCTAAAGCATGGGCGTCAAACTCACGGCATCACATTCCCGTCATGTGACGTATCATGATTTTTTTCCCTTCGCGGAGTTAGTGTGGGCGTGGTCTGCATGAGATGCATCCGGCCCATGGGCTGCCAGTTTGACACCCTGCTCTAAAGTGAGCCTTTTTAGAACTAAGATTATTAGTCTCATGAATATATGAAAATGTTGGAAGAAATCAAACAATAAAGCATAGTTGATTCCGGGATAATGTTTTTATCATATATACGCAAAATTCCAAATGAAATGTGTACTGAGAGGACATTATTGACCCTTGAAAACTAAACTTAGCAGGCATGGTTTGCTGAAACAGTGGGGGGAAAACTGAGGATAAAATGACATGTCTAGAATCTAAATGTCTCATCAAGTCAAAGCACTTGCCAAACCAGAGCAGTGCTGATATGCACACTTTTATGTCAAACAAAGCAACACCTCTATACTTTGGACACATTGTGTGAATGCCTAGCTTTCTGGAGAAGGCTGTAATGCTGGTAAAGGTGGAAAGAAAGAGAAGAAAAGGATGTCCGTCAGCAAGGTGGGTGGACCCAGTTATAGATGATAGACGCCCCATTGGAAGACCTGAAGGACCAGGTAGGAGAGTCTTGGAGAAAATCTATATGGTTGCTAAGGGTAGACAGCAATTTGGTGGCATGTAATTAATCAAATCAATATAAATATATAATATATAAATATTGAGATAATAAAGTCTTAATGTGAATGCCCTTGGCAACAATTTAAACTTATTCCTGAAATTTTACTTCTTCCATTCAGGAGCATAAAGATGTGGGGGGGGGGTGGTAATGCCCAAAATATTGCCCCATACCACTAATAGGTAAAATTTCAGTCATTAATATTTGCATGTCGAAGTCTCATGTGGAATTTGATTGTGGATGACTAGCAGGATCTAGAATGGAAAGATTCTGCTTTTATGCTGCCTCTCTTTTCTTGACTGGGCCCTACATTTGCATCAGTATACTGTTGGTCTGGGGTGTTTTGTTTTTTTTCCAGAAAAAAACCACCTCTCTCTACTGTTGCTATGTGCTAAACTTTATAAAAGTAGAACCTGCCAAAAGTTTCTTAAGAAAAGAAGTTGAGCTGTCAGTAGTTGATTAATAGACCTTTTCTGTGAGGACACTGCATGTATTGGAGGTTTCCATTCCTAAGGAAAGCAAGAGCCTAATTACCATGGCACCTTGTTTGATTCTACCACGGCAATTCTATTTAATTCACAGTCTTGCTAAATTAATCTAATTTGAAGATTTGTTCCAACATGCACTGCCGTT